AGTTACATCAATAATCATACTTTCGTAAGAATAGTTATACTTTTGCAAGAGCCGTAAATTGCTCCCGTAAACCGTTATATTTATATGTATATATATGTATATGTATATATGTATGTGTATATATATATATATATATATATATATATATATATATATATATATATATATATATATATATATATATATATATATATATATATATATATATATATATATATATAGTATATTATATGTATATATATAACTGTTGCTGCTAAGGATCAACGTAAGCAGTATTTATTTGAGTTATCAAAATGTGTACATTGTCAAGTTTGAACTTCTGAAAAGAGGCGTCTATTAACACACATAAAACTTAGAAGAAAACTGCTAAATGACTCAAGTTTTAGTGTAGCGTATCTAACCATTTTGCAGCTGTAGGACTCGAGGATAGTGCTTTTATATTACATGTTTGTTTAAGTTCAACTATGTGAACGATTTAGATTATTCAAATAAGCGCTATGTTAAAGGACGCATGTTTTAGGTATAATGATTTTTAGCAGCAAATCAAATGATATATCTTAATATTTTTATATTTAAAGTATATTACCATGCTGCATAGAAATCTTGAAATAAGTAGAAATTGTTTAATAATATTTCTGTAAATAACTTGATCCTTTTCAGTGATAATTTATATCTACATATAATCATATTTAAATCCCATTGAGAAGCTACGGTTTCCACTAAGCGGTCCTGGTAAGGTTATTTTAAGGTCTAGTTTTTTAGATTTGATATTTATTTTTTGACTCTTTTTTTTCTATTCACAGAAATTCAATGGAATTCTTATCTAGTTGAACTTTGAAAATAAAAATCCTTTCAAAAATTATTCCTGTGTAAAATGTGTTGAATAGGTTTCTTATTTTAAATGCTAGAAAGGAGCACTATGGAATTTAAAAAAATAAATCAAGGCTTCTACAAGAGTTTTTAATTGCACAAGATTTTTTATCTTATTCTGTTTCAGAGTACCAGAAGCTGTCACATGGTCTCTTGTGGGAGATATAAGAAAACGTTATAAATTGTTGTTGGCCAACAGAAGAAAAGAATAACCATGCAATAAAAATGATGGCAACGATGGAAGATTTTAATGCCTTTGTAGGAGAGTTGTTAGAAGAACAGAAACGTTCAACCATGGTATTTGTTATATTTTTTTTATGTCTAGTTTTTGATATTCAAACAAGATTGAAAAGTTATGCATTTTCCAATATCTTGTGATTTTAGTAATAAAATTTTATAAGTAAGGTGAGAGAACCTCACTATAACTAGAAAGCTGTTTTTAAACATCGTTGCTATAGTATTTATAATTGTGTTATCTTTCCGAGAAAATCTTTACGTCAAGTCCGTGGTTTGGATGCGAAAGACCAAGTGAAAATGATACTGGAAAGGTACACTTTCTTTTACCTAAACAACATTGCAGCTTTCTAGTCTTTATTTTTGTTATTGTGTGATTCATCTGTGTTGATAATGATATCACCTGTTTTTATAATTTTATGTTGTTAGGTAAAGCATCATTATACTTCAGGCTAAAGTTGAGCTTTGAACAATAGGTTTATCTAGTTTAAATAAATAACAACTTTCAAGGTGTATTAGCTGAATTATCTTTTCGTTTTTGATAGTCCTTAGTCAATAACGGATTTTTAAATTGTTATGGGTCTACAACACTTAATTTCAACGAAATTAAATTAAAAAGTTACTTCATAGAAGACAAGAAAAATATCAACATCAGTTTTTGATAACTTGTCTTTCATAGCAAATCTGAGAGGTGCAAATGCTTAGTTTGCTTTAAGTACTACATAATATAATACATCGTTGTACATTCATTTTGATAATAATAAATTTCTTTAGCATACTCATTTATTATATTTTTAGACTGTTTACCGTTGGACTTCTGTCCCAATTTAACTTAGTGGAGACAAAAAGAACGGACCGCGGTGGAAATAAGAGGGGGTTGAAAGGATCAGCCGCTTTTGAATTAATAGTCGGTAAGCCTAATGTGTTTCACTCAGCTGATAAAATTTCATTTGCTATTTCATATTACAATAAAAGTGACTGTTTTTCATGTTCATTCATTTTTTAGAAGTCGCAGCCAGCTCGTTCAACCAAATCTTCTATGTCTAAATGATCAGCAATTTCTTTCTCGATGGAAATCGTAGCTACACCAACTAAACGATCTTGACACATTTGTGATCTCAAATAGGATTTTATTATTTTCAGCTTTGAAAAGCTTCTTTTAGCACTAGCAACTGTGACTGGTAAAGTTAGTAATATGCGAAGAGCTATCGAAAGGTTTGGGAATACTTTGACAACATTAGATGTGTAAATACATTTTAATACACTTTTTTTGATCGCTATTGGAAGTATCAAGTCGTCTCCCAATAGCTTTATTTTCATACTAAAGTTCGACCCCGTTGATATCAGATTGGCCATCAGACATAAGTGCTAAATGCAAGTCCTTACAGTGTTTCAATAACTCATCATCCGTTAAGGGTTTGCTGCCGATATTTTAAAGAAACCCAAATAACTCGTTATATTCCGATAATTGCGTAAATCTTTCATTTATTGCTTGAATTGCGATGTCCAATATTCGATTGAAAAAAGATACTCTGAAGTTTTGTTCTGGTGATACTATCGGTTCATCACGACCTTCGTATAGGAATTGTCTACTCTTTCTGCGTACGCGTACGGGATCATCCACATCAAATCCTTCAAAAATTTCTAGTTCAACTGCCAATTTTTTTGCATTTTCAACCATTGCGGCAAATTCTTCATCACAGCGAAAATCGCATAGGAAAGATTTGGTAGCGTTTAAATGCTCTAGAGCAAGCGACAAGTCTAAAGCCTGTGATTGGAGCATTTTGCTGACAATATTAATTTGGAATAAAATGTCATACCACAATACCAAGGAGCAAACAAATTTGAAATTTGAAATATTTCTGGCTATTCCCTTAGCCTCTGCGCAACTCTTGACTTGTGGTGCAGTAGTTAATGTATTGTCTTCTGCGATTTCAATTAGTGCATCGTAAACTCCACTAATCTGAAATCGAAGTGCCCGTACGGCACCGACCCTGCTTTCCCAACGAGTGGCACTTAACGGTTTTATAGTCAGATCGCTTAGGTGGTTTAATAATATACTCCAACCGTGAGTTGATGCTGAGAAAAAGTTTATAAATGCCTTGAATTAAATCAAAGAATGCGACAGCCTCCATACAACAATTAGCTGCATCGTTCAATACCAAGTTGAGCGAGTGGGCACTACAAGGAACGAAAAAAGCTCGAGGATTTAGTTGACGAATTCTGGCTTGCACACCATTATATTTTCCGCGCATGTTGGCTCCATTATCGTACCCTTGTCCCCTCATGTCATCAAGATTTACGCCTAATTCCTGCAACTTATCGATAACAACTTTTGTCATATTTGCTCCCGTTGTGTCTTGTAATTCAAGAAAAGTTAGGAAGTGTTCAGAAACTACGACTTCAGCTGGTTTTTCCGAAGATGATTCAGTTGCACTGACAAACCTAAAAACAACTGTCATCTGCTCCATGTGGCTTATATCGGGGGTGCAGTCTAAAATAAGTGAGTAGTACTTTGCTCGCTCTAGTTTTGCTAAGATGTCATTTTTGATTTTATTAGCAAGCAATTCAACGATTTCATTTTGAATAGTTTTTCCGAGATAGGTGGTGTGAATTTTACTTGTTGTTATTTGTTGAATATGTTTACTCATAATAGGATCATAATTTCCTAAGAATTCAATAAATTTAAGAAAATTTCCGTTATTCGGTTCGAAAAGCTTTTCACATGTTCCTCTTAATGCTAGATTTTGTCCAGCAAGAGTTCTAATTAACGTTATTATTCTTGCAAGAACTTGTCGCCAATGTTGAGTTTCAGATTGAATTATTTTCTGATTAATGTGATCAATCGTAGTGATTTAAGTCTCACCTCCAGATCTCTCCAATTTAGATATGCAGTAGTGTGGCCACTTGATGTTTCATGTCGTTTAATAATAACAGAAATATTTTTCCAATCTCGGCAGCCGTCATGCGATGACAGGGAGAATTTATTCGGACTAAATATCTTACAGCAAATACAAAATACAGTGTCTTTCGTAATGGAGTACACCAACCAAGTGCGTTTAATTTTATCGCCATTAGACATTCGGCGATAAAAATGAAAGCTTGAAAATTTTCTACCTTGTTCATCTTCGGGAAATAAAGACAGCAATTTTTGAATTGGACCATACTTCATCAGCAATGCTTTAAATTTACCATCTATTATAGGCCATTTTGCCGGATCATTAAAATTAAGAGGCAAATCTTTATTGGTTTTGGGGTCTTCACCACTTTGATCTTCATTGTTTTCATTTTGTCCTATATCATCGACGTTCTGTACAACAACTTCACTTAAATTGGAGATAAATTCCACTTGCATCTAAGGTATTCTGAATCTTTGTCAGAATACCTTAGATGCCTGACCAGTATCGAATTATATACAAATGTAGATTTTTCTATTATTATTTCCCAAAAAGCATATAATTTTTTCTGTAAAAATAATAGAACACTAAGTGTCATATCAGAATCTACCAATATTGCAACAAATTATTCTTATTCCTCATTTCTTACTTTGTGTGCTCTCTCAAGTGTTGTTTGAATACCAATTGAACCATTATCCTCAGGGTTGGTTGATTTAAATCACATCAATTTAAATCAGTGGTTTAAATCAAGATTTAAATCAAAAGATTTTTTTGGATGACTAATGATTTAAATCAAGTTTTTCTTTTATGTTTGATTTTTGAATAATAAAAATTTATTTAAAAACTATTTTTGTCATATTTAAAAAAAAAACTAATTAAATGTAACAGAACTATGTATTTATTGAAATAATGACTCAAAGTATACAATAAAAATAAATAAAACAGGTAATGCTAAAGTGCACAAAACAAATTAATAAACATAATTATCAATTAAAACTAAAAAATTTTATCCTGTGTGCAGCATTAAAATTAATCATCAACATCAAATTGAATAATTTGATGAATGATGAATTTGTTGCAAAAATCATTCTTGCAATCTGCTCATCAAATACGGCCTTTTGACTCTGACTTGTTCTAACAACATGTGACAATAATCCAGAACTTATATTTTTATTTATTGGACCATTATTATTTATATTTTCAGTTCGTGATTTTTTTCCTGATACATTTAAATAACATTTTTCTGCTAAAACAGATGATTCTGAGGGTTGCTTTGTAACATCAAATTGAATATTGGAAGAAGTAGTTTGAAATTCAGTTTCTAAAAAAATACTTTGAATTAAATAATACTAATTAAAAAAATAATTAATTATTTTAAAGTGTACATTATATCACCTTCTGCATTATTTTCATGACAACATTTATTTAAGTGTACTTTCATTCTTGCCACCAGACCCTGCAGTTCTTTTTTGCATATCCTACATCTTGCTTTACATCCCTTCCCACTTTTTGTTTCAAGCTTTTCAAATTTGGACCATACTGAGTTAGATCTTCTTCCAGACATATTTTTTTGTTTTTTTTTAGTATGTTTTAAATATTTTTGTTTTTGCAAAAATATAGCTAGAGTTTTAAACTATTTAAGAGTAATATTTTTTTGACAAAAATTTTGACAAACAGTCAATATTAAATTATAACAACAATATTTAAGAAAAAACTTAATACTATCTATACTTAATATAATAAATATCCAGAAAATCTTTATACAATCGCATAGTGTGGATAGTTTTGTGGAGGTATAAGGTTAAAAGAAATGATTTTAGAATCCTGAGTATACTTTTGACCTGTTTGACCACTGCATTATGTACAAAAAAAACACAGCCAACCAATTTCATATTACTTTAAATTATATTAAAAGTTAATCAAAAAATATTTTAAATCAAAAAACTCTGATTTAAATCAAAAAAATCTGATTTTTTTGATTTTTTTTAAAAAATCGTGATTTTTTCCAACCCTGATTATCCTATAGAAAAGGATAGAAAAGAAATAGAAAAAACTGTTTATGAAATATTTTTCAATTGCACTGTATTAAATATTTTTCAATTGCACAAAAGCCTCTTACCGAAAATACTAACAGTCGCCTAATTCTGGTTATCTTAAACAACATAAACAAAATTTTTTTAAAGGTTTTTATGTACAAAACACGGGCCAATTAGAACGTAAGATAGATGAGGTACGGATTATAGCCCATAATGTTGTAACATAGTCATAAGAATGAATACTTTTTATGACTATGGTTGTAAATACGATATTTATGGGTTAAATTTTAACCCATCATAAATTTTATGATTTATAAAAAAATTATGGGTTAAATTTTAACCCATTTAAATATTGTAATTACGATGTTATGGGCTTAAACCCATAATATCGTAATTACGATAATATGGTCTAAAACCCATAATATCGTATATACGATATTATGGGTTAGCTAGGTTCTAATTAGCAAATAGCTAATTATAATTTTTTATTATAATTATAATAACCAAATTATAATTATAATAAACAATAATAATTTGCTTAACAACTTAAGTTGGTACTAAGCAAAGCAGTTGTACGATAATATCGTAGTTATGATATTATTGGTTATAACCCATCTTTTTTACGTTCTGATTGACCCGTTTTTTGTAAACTAGTTTGCAAATTATATTTTTCTTACAGAATGCACAGTAAAACAAGTGAAAACTTAAAAGTTTTCACTTGTTTTACCGTTTATTCTGTTCTCAGTGGGAAACGTTAGTGAACTTACCCCGCCCCTTCTTAAAAGAAAAAAAAGTCTCACTGATTGTTGTTTAATTTGTCATTTAAACAAAAATTTTTTTTAAGGATCATCGTTATAAAAGACGTGTTTATACGTTTTTAAAAAGACGTTCAACCGACTGACGTCTTTTCGACCTCTTTTTTAAAGACGTCTTTCCACGTTTTTATTCAGGCTGATTATAAAAAAACATAACAAGTCATAAAAAAGACGCCTTTTATTTGTCTAAAGATGTCTTTTTTCCCACTGGGAAATACAGAAGATTTGATTATTAATGAATGGGACTTAATTAATTCTTAGCTGAATGGGCAGAGTATGAAAAAAGTTATATAGAGAAATTATCACGGTTTTGTATATTTTGAAAATTATTTTGTAACCCAGTTGATGCATCATTTGATGACAAAGAATTCTAAAAATAAATGCTTCTTTAAAAAAAAATTGCCAATGATTTTGCTGTTGCTGCCCTTGAAAAATTTAATCGGCATCTTTGGTATTTAACCTAAGAAATGTCTCCTCTCTCACTATTTTCTGATAAAGTGTCTGATTGTGATAAAGCTAAAATTGCTAAAATAATTTTTATAAATATTTAAAAAAACTGGGAGCATGATTTAGGCTTTCCACAATTTCCCCTTTTGAAATCGAGTATTCGTTTAGTTAAACGAATACTCGATTTCAAATTTATTTAGTTGGACCAAAATTAAGCAACATTCTAAATTTATTAAGATATTTAAACAAAGATGGTGGTTGGTTAGCCCAATCCCCAAAGCTTTGGAAAGCTAACACAAATTTTCAACATACGTTTGAGGATATTTAATCATTGAAATCTTTAAATGATAAAGCAGAATGAGCTGTCAAACTAATTTAAGACTATTCAAAATCTATTACCGAAGATGAAAAGCAAAAAGATTTTCTTTTACGTGCAGTAGAAAACCACTGTAAAATTCTTCTACAGATAAATAAACAAGCAATTCAAAAACTAAATTTTTGAAAATTTAAACGATGCTTTAATCTATATAACTAATACCTTTCAAATATTTTTATTTTGTTGTCATAATTAATAAAAAAAAAGACTTTAATTTTTAATTTATTTGTACTTACTCCCAGCTTAGTCCAAGTTAGCGTAAATATTTTCAATTTATAACAATTTATTTGCTTCATTTTCATAATAATAAATTTTAATGATTATTTTTTTTGTTATAATAGGAAAGTATAGTTCTAAAAATTCATTATTTTAGACAGAAAAATATCATAATCAGAGGGAGAGGGGTTGATTTGGTGTATCATGAGGATAAAGGGGGGTTCAATTGTCTTGGTTGGTGAATTTCTTTTGAATAAATTTTCATTTGATTTAACTATAAACAACTGTATTTAAAACTATTTAAAAATATGAACTTCGTTAAATATAATAATAGACAATGTAAGAAGTTTATTTGGAATTAATTTAATGAAAACACTTTAAAAGAATTGTAAGGGGGTCATAATTAAAAAAATTTTATGTACGTATCTTTTTTCAAAATAATATGTCATTAGATTCTGTTAAACTAAACTAAACAAGAAAAATGTTTAAAATGTGAACATAGTGGATTATCGAATATGTATTTAGTTTCTTTTGGCAAAATTTTAGAAAAAAAGCAACTAAAATAAGGTAGCAGGAAGAGGGGGAGGGGAATTCACACGTTACCTCCTGACAAGCTTGGCCCGATGGCAGGGTGCTCTGTCATGCTAAGACTTGTGGGTATTTGTGATGATTATGAATGTTTTGAGTTTTTTTTTATGTATTTTAAGATAAATATGGACTTTTATTGTGATGTTTGGGGGCATAAACCATAAACAACCATTATAATTTGCTGTAACGACATCCTATATCGTGAGTTTTGGGCAATTTTTTACAGAAGAAAGCAAATACTGAGGGTGATTTTTTTTGGCAAGGTGGTCGTCTGACGCTTGTAGTACGACAACCAAATTTTTCGATTAACAATTCGTCGCTAAATATTATATCTTTCCAATCTTCCGCTGACCAATGCTTGTTTTTTTGACAGAAGGTTTTTTTTTTCAGATCACAGCTATTTAAGTTAAATTGTTTGCACAAACCTCTTCTAATTTTTACATGACTTGGTGCAACACCAGTTGGAAATATCTCTGATAAAATTTCAGAAGCAATGGCAAACGGATACGCTTTAGCATAACGATGAATGCCCTTATATGCAATCATCTGCCCTTTGAGGGACTACTCACCTTTGGTCGTTCAGTTCTAGCTTCGCTTTTAAAATCACCAGTTTCTCGATATCGCTTTTATAATATAATGTTTTTATAATACAACTTTTTTAATACAACAATATATATATATATATATATATATATATATATATATATATATATATATATATATATATATATATATATATATATATATATATATATATATATATATATATATATATATATATATATATATATATATATATATATATATAAATATATATATATATATATATATATATATATATATATATATATATATATATATATTCACGATCAAAAGTTTGAAATATTTTAAAAGTTTGCAAAAATTTTGAAATATTTGTTTAAAAGTTCTGTTTTACACTGAAAATTTTGATTAGTCAACACCCTATTGTAGTACACACTGGTTAGAGTTAACAGTCAGTGATGCATCACATTTTACCAATTTGTGCCATACAAAAGTTTTTCTATAAGTTATCAAGAAAAATTAAAAGAACATCTTTGTTAGAAGATGAAACAGACCTTTTTAATGAGAAATAATGCATGTAATGAATCGTAAACACAACATTTAGCAAAAAAAGTTTTAGGACGTCAAATTGAAAAATGGCAGTTTCTAAAGTTAAAATTAATTTTTTAATAATTAGTGAAAACTTTGATTCTATAACATTTATAACTATAAATCACTATAAGTTTAAATATAAATTAACATTAAACAATTAAACAATTATTTAAAAACAAACTACAAATTTAAACATAAAGCAGTGCAAATTTAAACATGGAAAAAAAAAAGAGTTGATAAATAGTTTACAAACTTTTGAAAGACCAAATAAGTTTGCAGAACAGAATCTACGTTTTAGAGACAATGAAATTTTAAAATTAGTTAAACCTTTCCACATTTGTGAAAGTACAACAGTTCAAGGGTTTTGCGAATATTCTCAAAATGATCACTATAAAAAAACAAATAATATTTAGCCTCTGAGCATAGTTATGAATAGTTAATTAATTATTAGCTGAAAATAAATGCGAGCGTTTATTTTTTACAATTCATATATTATTGTCTTCTTTACAAAACCCTTTAATGATAAAAATTGTGTCAAGTTTTATGTTATATATATATATATATATATATATATATATATATATATATATATATATATATATATATATATATATATATATATATATGTATATATATTTATATATATATATATATATATATATATATATATATATATATATATATATATATATATATATATATATATATATATAGATATATATATATATATATATATTTATATATATATATATATATATATGTATATATATATATATATATATATATATATATATATATATATATATATATATATATATATATATATATATATATATATATATATATATATATATATATATATATATATAATTATTTAGTACTAAAATGAAAAAATTACAACTTTTTTTGGTACTCAGAGTTTCATGCCTGGCGGCAATTATCAGTTATATTTTTTTAAATCAAGAAATTAAAAAACCGTTAAAAATACAAATGACACATTGCAATGAGATCTGACGTCAAAAAATCGATTACATGAAGTCTACCTATACCCTGTGTCAAATTGACAAAGAAGGAATTTATTTCTATGCCAATAATTTCGATATAAATTCAATTTTTTTATTTAATAAACTGTTGTTATTGTTTGAAATAATTTCATATTTTTCATTAAGGCATAATTTGCATGATTTTGTTGTCAGGTTATATGTTTCAAATTTCAACAGGATTTTTATTATTATCTGTTAAGTTCCAAGCCTCCTTTGACAACTCTGTATCGTTTTTATATTTAGGGATATTAAATGATTTTAAATGGTCAGCATTATTGAAGGGTTATCCGAAGTGATGGTTGCTTGATATACAATGTTGTTGGTCAAGCAGTTATTTTATAAAGGACATTTGTTTATATTAAGACAGTTGCAGTTATCTTTATTAATAGTAGGATTTTATTTTAGGATGTGCTTGTTGTGTAAATTTATTACTGATTTTTAATGTTTGCCATGCAACTGTAGCTGATTTTTTAAGTGTTCTTGTTGAGAATTTTATGTAGTTTGTTGTTAATTGGAAAATGTTTACTGTTTAATAATAAACAGGTTTGAATGAAAAAGTCTGGTGGCTTAATTGACGATGCAATGGGTGCGTTTGGTGGTGCGGAGATATGTGAGTTTGTGGGAATATTCATTCTTTTTTAATTTTAAAATTTCTATAATAAATATGACTTTGGCTTATAAAGCGATGACGGATTAGCAGTTTTTAAAAATGCTACTGGTCACCAAATGGAGAAAATTAAAAACATATCACGCACTTTTTCAAATGTAACAATCTTAACATATCTAGGGTAAGGTTGCCAATATTGTACCGGCGCCTAAATTGTACTTTTGCTGTATCTAGTTATTTTTACAACCCAGAAAATATCTTTTGACTTAAATTTTATCTTTGCTATGTTGAACTAACGAATCAATTGTTTTTTCGTGAGATGAAACTAGAATCTGGCAGCAGTTACCTCGAGTTGATAAGATGCCAAAGTTTTCTTATTTTTGGGGTTCAATGTTTAGATTTGTTAGACTTTAAACATGTTAAATATGTTTTTTTTATCATATTTATGTGAAAGCACTAGTTATATTAATTCAAATTAAATTCCAAGAAATTAAAATACATTAGCATTTGTTGTCTAATTTCGTTATTAACTCAAAGTGAGTCTAGTCGCGTAATTCGTACCTCACTTAAGGTCTTAAATTGTACCAAGGCTGCCATTTTGAATACTTAAAATACGCGTGAAGTATATAAAAATAATATGAATTTTAAAATGTCGAAACGGAGATATGGTTTGTGGACAAAAGAAGATATGAAAGAGGCTATTTTACTATTTTACTTCATCTACATTCTTTACAACGTAGATGAAACTGGAATAAGTACAGTTCACAAACCAAGGAAAGTTTTAGCTCTGAAAGGTAAACACCAAGTAGGAGGTATTACAAGTGGTGAAAGGGGTGTGAATACCACTGCCATATGTTGTATGAATGCTGTTGGATCTTTTGTACCTCCTATGCTTATATTTAAACGTAAAAGATTTAAAAATGAGCTTAAAGATGGTGCACCACCATTGACAGTTTTTGGATGTTCTGATACTGGTGGGATAACTAAAGATTTATTTACTTTGTGGATAAGTCATTTTATAAGCTCACTTTTTCTTAAACCTCTTGCAAAAAATCCAGAACAAAAAAAAGTTCTTCTTTTACTTGACGGGCATTCAACACATACAAAAAACCTTGAGGCCTTAGTTCTAGCTCGAGATCACGGAGTAGTAATGCTTTCTTTGCCATCGCATACTACTCCTAGGCTACAACCTTTAGATGTATCTTTTTTCAAAGCTTTAAATACTAAATACAATACTGCTTGTGATAAATGGATGCGAACCCATCCAGGCAGATGTATTACTCAGTATCAAGTATCTCAACTGTTTGGCGAAGCTTACTCAAAAGTTGTTGGTATGGAAATTGCTATTAATGGATTCAGAGACACTAGGATATGGCCGGTAGACAACTCAGTTTTCCGGGAAGAGGACTTTGTACCTTGTGAAATATTCAGTGGAAAGACGAGTTCAAATGCAAAAGCTTCCCAAACGGTAAATTTAGTCATAGTTTGCCTTTAGTCACATGTTTTTCTTTCTCAACTTATTCAAATACCATAATTGTTACTGTTGTTCTAATTATATATTTTTTGTTTAACGTTTCATTTATTTAGGATGAACTTATTTTAGAAACAATTTCTGCACATCCAGTGCAAACTTCTTCACTCGAGCGAAATCCAAAAAAATCTAGAGCTACTCTAATGCACATAATGACCCACTCTCTAACGTAACTTTATTATCATCAATGAAAATGTTTGAAAGAGTGTGAGCAAGCAAATAAATCTCTTCAAAATGAAAGCTGGTTTTGCTACCTTTGTGAAGAAAATATAAAAAAGAGTATGATACAATGCCTTACATGTCAAGGCTGGTGCCATAATGACTGTGTAGGTGTTAATCAAAAACAAAAACGTTATATTTGTAACTTTTGTCAAGAATAAAGATTTTCTGTTTTGTATTATTAATATAATGTGCAGCAATGTTCATCATTTTCTTACCAAAATTCTAGAAACCACATAAGTAAGTTACACATTTAATATAACAGTTATACCTTATTGAGATGTTTTCAGACTATTCTAGAAACTTTTTTACATTGCTTGGCACATAAAAAGATCTTTATAAAATTCATTCAAAATGTACGGTAAATTAATATAGCATTTGTAAAATCAAGATAAAGGTACAATATTGGATTAAAATTATAACGATTTAGGATCTTTTTTCCTTAATTGTACCGATAGCGTGTTTTTAAAATTTAATTCCCTATCAAATAACAACGTTTAAACATTTGAATATTTCAACTTTTTTAGAACAGTTTATCCCCAAATTATAAAATAAAATAAAGTCTCATTATTTCTACTTTGTATTTTTTCTCTATTTTTGACTTTACTCTTAGAGGGTACAATATCGGCAACCTTACCCTATACAGTGCAACCTTAAAATTGTGAACTACCTTGACGTAACTCTTAACCTCTGCGACCAGTCATATCAACCATACAACGAACCTGATATTACTTTAAACTACATATATGCTCAATCTAACCACCCTCCTAGTATACTAAAACAACTACCTAAAAATGTTTAACTGAGATCGTCCGGAAATTCTAGCAGCGAAGAAGTGTTTAATTAATCTGTATCTGTTTATAATGAAGTACAGCGAAACTCTATTTATAAACATAATTTATTTTACCAACCTAACTTAAAACAACAACAAAAGAAAAACCGTACACGCAAAATAATATGGTAAACCCTCCTTTAAGCATAAATGTCACCACAAATATAGGAAAATGCTTTTTAAACTTGATTGTCAAACATTTTCCAATTAACAACAAACTACATAAAATATTCAACAAGAACACTGTAAAAATAAGCTACAGTTGCATGCCAAACATGAAATCAGTTATAAATTTACACAACAAGCACATCCAAAATAAAAATCCTACCATTAATAACTGCAACTGAGGTTTTCATCAATCCAGGGTGAGAGGAAGAACAACCCTGATCATAATGATACTGCAAGTGGTAGTCATCAGTAACCACTGGTATCTACAACAATTTTGAAATATATTTTATAAATAACTTGATTAGTTTCTTTACTTGTAAATTTTAAATCAAGAAGATAAAGAATAACGAATTATAATATTTGTTAAACTGTACATATTTGATACAATAGAGTGCGGATGTGGGGTGACCAAGCTTGAGATTAAAGTTAAATTAATATTATTCTTGTACAATAAATCTTACTTTGGAAAAAACTAAGTCTCGGTCTGGCGTTTTCTCAAATTATGTTTTTATAAATGTGTGTTTTATATATGTATATACATCTCCATTTTCATTAAAAAATACAGCATTTTATAATATGGCGAATGAAACACTGTTTAAAAAAAAGTGTAGATTTAACCAATACTTGATAGTTTTTGCATTAATTATACATATTTTTATTTTATAAACATTTTTTTTATTAAGTATATACAAATACTGCTCGAAGTGCAAAATTTATTATTATTCAGAAATACCTCTAGAAATATATAAATATTATTTATTAGTTATTATTATATTTTTAATGAGTTTTATTTTATATCAAATGAAAAACTTGATTTTAAGTTATTAATATTATATTAAATCACATTTAGAATATTATATCTGCTATTCAGAAAATATTTATTTATATGTCTTCAAGCTCTACAAGATGGAAAAGAGTCAGAGCCCAAATTAAAAAAGATATGTTAGAAATTGAATTGACAAGCGAACAAGAACAAGAACAAGTGACAGTAAAGAAGCAGATACAAAAGTGATATATGTTAAAGACTATAATATTGTTGCATATTACGATGTTTATCAAAATAAAACAAATTCTTAAGGGTCTGCGTCTGCTCGTATTCTCTCGGAAGTTCGGTATGAAACGGTAAAAAATGTGAGTATTCGTTTCGTTCCGTTTTTACGAAACAAAAAATATCATTTTGTTTTGTATCGCATTTATACGAAACACGTAAATCTTGTTTCGTTTCGTATCATGTTGTTACGAAACGTAAAATTATTTTTTCGATTTGTACCTTTATTTACGAAACACAATAAAATTGTTTCGTTTCTTATCGGTTTTTGCGGAATATTTCATAACTCCCCGCCCAAACAGATATTTCACGATTCCCATGCCCTCGAGCAATACATAAACTTTTACGTTTAATACTTACTAACTCAATGTTTCGTAAATCAAAGTTTAACTAAAAAAATTAACAAAGCAATGCAATAGCATCATTTTCATAAGGTTTTAGTAAAACTGATGAACTTAAAGTTAAAATTTTATTACAGTAAAACCGTTTTACTGTAATAAAATTTTAACTTTAAGTTCATCAGACATAAATTATGTATTTGTTTATAAACTCGCATGAAGAGTTTGAAATCATTGTTTGAATTAAATACTTCAAGCTATATTATATAACATTTTAAATGCGATATTGTTGTGTTAACTTGAAATATTTTGCAAAACTAATTAATTTATTGTTTAAAAACCATAGTAATTCTCAATCATATAATCATGCCTATAAAAGCTACAATTTTATGGAACTATTTCAATAAAGTTACTGTGTCAGGTGTTAAGCGTGGGGAATGTAAAAAGTGTCAAATCCAAATCAAGTTAACTGATGGATCTACTAGTGGTATCAGGTACCATCTGAAAACAAAGCATCCCACTGACTACGCTACGATGTTAAGAGCCCAAATTGAACTTGAGCGCCAAAGAGAAGAAGATATTAAAGAAATTACAGAAGCTGCCTTCGAACTGAATGACGCATACAGTAAGTTTCTAATTATTTTTCATAAAATAATGTTTTTCTAATTATTTTTCATAAAATAATGTTTTTAAAATAATGTATAAAGATAATTTTCATGTTTAACTTTAATTTTTATTTCGTTTTTTTAGATCAACGATCACAAAAAGGCTTATCTAAATGTGTTAATGGGGGAACTATTGGGAAATATTCTTCCCAATCAGGCAGGCAATTTGAGACAGACATGGTAATCATGTCATACATTGCCAGGTCAAGTAGTCCATTCACTCTAGTAGATGAACCATGCTTCAAAGAAATGGTGGAACATTTAAATCCAAAAGTAATTGTGAAACATTCCTCGACTTTTTCAAGGTACAAGCTGCCATTGCTTTATGAAAGCCTTATGGATAATGTGCAAAACATAATTGAAAAAGAAGTTTCCACTTGTCAACAGGTGGCTATCACCACTGATGGTTGGACCTCTAGGTCACAGGATCCATACATGACTCTTACGCTTCACTATATCAACAGTCAGTTTGAACTAAAAAATATGTTCTCAACTTTGACAATTTCGTGGGAAGACACACTGGTTACCACATTAGCAAAGTAATTTTTCTTATGTTGATATAATTTGTTCTCGTAAATATAAATTTGTAAGTGCAAAAATAATTTAAAAAAGTAAAACTTATCCTTCCGCTAGAATAGCGTTTCTTTTAGGATTTTGTCAATTATTGAAAGAATTTATAATTTATTGTAAAACCTAAAAGCTGCATAAGTTATCTTATAAATCATTATTTTTTCTTTATTCTTGTTTAAGGCTCTGGAAGAAATGATCCAAAAATATCCGGTATTGGACGCCGTGCCCAAGAAAGTCATTGTCCACGATGCGGCGGCAAACATGAAACAGGCTGTGTCAATTATAAACAAAACAAAATATGAATCACTGTTGTGTGCAGACCACCTACTAAACACTAGCCTACTACATGCTACCAATGAAGTCAAAGAATGCATAGATATTGCCACACAACTATCTAGCAAAGTCCACAGATCCACCTTAGCTTGTCAATTTATTGAAAAAGAGTGTATGTTGCTCCGTGTAAACTATGTTAAAATCATTGCTCCGGTAAAAACCAGGTGGAATTCTAAATGTTTTATGCTGAAGTCAATCCTTAAACTTAAAGATGTGTTGATTTCTCTTAGAGAAAAAGATGCACTAAATAACAACCCACTACAGAACGTTATTCCAAGTGACAACCAATTTTCACTGATGGCTTCACTGATGCCAGTCTTAAAAAAAATGAAGATTATATCAGATTGCATGTCCAAGGACACTGAACCAGTGCTTCATCATATGCTAACTATGCTTTATAAAACTGACAATTTTCTTCATGACCACATTGATATGGAAAACAGAGAAATAGTTAATGCTTTTTGTAAAAAACTAAGTGAGCATTTACACCTAGCCACGCGATTCAATGAACATGGAAGATACAACCAACACTATGCCTTGGGAAACCTTCTTCATCCGTACTTTAGAGGTTATAAGTTTTATTTCTTGGTAAAAAAAACATTCTTTAATATTCTTTACTTGTTAAAAATTTAACAGTTATTGTTTATGATTTCAGGATATATGCTTAGACATTACGGTATCTTCGAAGAGTTCACCAGAAAAGTCATCAACGATCATCCATCGTCGGACGCTGTTTCGATCAGTGAAAAAAATAATCATAAAGCTACACAAGTTAAAATGCCATTTGGTGTGGATGAGTGCGACGATTTACAAAATATAGAGATTGAACAGGGTAATAATAACCACACCATTAGTCAAAATGTACCGGAAATTGAAAGGGAGTTTGAATCTTTCCACGCTATGCCTCGTGTTGAAGAAAAGCATAAAGTTGATGTGCTCAAATGGTGGAAGAAATATGCCTCTACTTTGCCATTGTTAGCACAATTGGCAAGAAATTTGCTCTGCATTCCAGCTGCATCAAGCTGTAGTGAGAGAGTGTTCAGCGCCAGCGGTGGAATTATAAATGATAAAAGACACAGTCTTTCCACTCAGACAGCAAAGCAATTGACTTTGATTAAAGTCAATTATGATCTTGTCTGTCCTCACATGACCTTGAAAATTATAAGCGACGCTGAAGAAGCTCTGGACCCCCCAGCATTAACTCCAGTTAGAACACTTCCCAAAAATCCTATTCCTAAAGCAGTTTTTTCAAATAACCAAAAAAGGTTATTGTTCAAAACAAAAAACGTTTCAACAACGCCATTATGTTCTTCTTCTTTACCATCAACACCAACATCTTCAGGAATCAAATAAAAAACAATGGAAATTCCAGAAGGATCCGAAACAACATCATCCGAAAAAACATCCGAAAGTGACTCTCAACAAGTATTAAAATAAAAATGTTTTACTTTTCATTGTGAAATTTTAAAATCGTGAAATATAATTGTCTAAATAAAAACTGATTTTTCGTAAAAATCGCAAATGTGTGCTTAAATTGGTACAATATAAAAGTAAATTATTTTTTTATTTTATGCTAGCTCTATCTGTCGTAAAAACATTAGTATTTCTCGTAAAACTCAGAAATTTCTTGTTTGTTTGTTTCGTTTTTTACCGTTTTATTTCGGAAAAAATCTTATTTCGTTTCGTACCGGTTTTTTCAAAACAAAAAATGTGTCCCGTATTTATCACGAAACCAGAAAATTGTATTTCTTTTCGTACCGTATTTTGCGAAAAAAGATAAAAACTGTTTCGTTTCGTAACGGTTTTATCGAAACGATATTTTTCATCGTTTTGTTTCGTTTCGTCTTGTACCGTTCTGAGACGCAGACTTTTAAAATAAATTCTAAAGGATTGTATTCAGCAATTATCGATAACTGTACAAAATGTACCTCCAAGCAACAATTTTTTTTTTTTTATCATCTTCGCTTCCAACAAGGCTGCAAGCAACCACTAATTAGTGTTGGAAGTTACTGGAAGAGAAAACATGAAGATTGTAGAGCAAGATAACGATTGACAGACGATTTAAAAGATTGCATATTATATGAATCAGGAAAGTAAGATGAAGGAAGCAAATTCCAAAAAACTGATGTTCGAGGGAAAAAACTAGACGAGTAAGAGTTTTTGGAGCACTTAGGAACAGTAATAGAAAAAGGATGAGACTTAATTGAATGACGTGTACCACGAGTATGAATTTTAGTTGATGGCACAAGAGACGCTAGCTCTTTAGAGCAGTGCCCAATATAGTATTTGTAGAAAAGAGAAAGAAAAGCAACATTACGACGATGTGACAAAGGTTGAAGGTTGGCTGCAAGAGCAGCTCCAACTATGTTTACAATGCGTTTTTGCACCTTGCCTAAAAGAGAAAGAGTATCATTAGAAGATCCGCTCCAGATATGGTAACAGTATTCCATACAAGGACAGATTTGAGATTTATAGAGATAGAGAATAGAATCCAGAGTTAGAAAGTGTTAAACTCGATAAAGAGATGCACTTTTAGCAGATGCTAATTTTGCATAATTAGCCTCTGCTAAAGTTTCATTGATTTGATATAGGGTTTCCAAGAAAGATCAGAACTAAGAGTCCATCCTAGTAGATGAAGGGTACATGACTCATTGAGTACATTACCGTTCATAAATATAGTAAGGTCTAAATTATTGCAATAATGATTGGCTGAAAAAAAATGAGTTTTATCTGATCTAAAATTCACCAGAAACTGTGAGCCCCATGCTGTAGCAGAAGTGAGATCCTTTTCAAGTTCAAATGCCCCCTGAAAGCAGTCAAAGAGAGTTGGCTTCTTATTGTGACAAGAATAAATGGTAGTATCATCAGCAAACAATGCCACCTTAGATATGAGAATATCTGGAAGGTTGGTAATGTAAATTAACGATCTTCCATATATTATTTCAGAAATTATAAAAAAAGTATAGGGCCAAGGATTGAACGTTGAGGAACCCCTGAGGTTACAGAATAAGAAGAAGAATGCTGTCCATTAAGGACAACTTTTATACTTTAATTGTATAAAAGTTATTGATTGGAAAGGAAGGATTTAATAATTTTAAAGATTTTTCCAGATACACCTAAAGAAGAAAGTTTATGGAGCAGACCAGCATGCCAAACTTTATAAACGCTTTAGAAATGTCAACAGCAATGGCGTTAACCTCTCCACCTTTATCTAATGCGCGATAAAACCTATCGGTTATTATTGTTACCAAATCAGCCGTAGAACGAGAAGATCGAAATCCATATTGATGATCAGAAATTAGATTCAAGTTAAGTTATTAGATTCAAGATGAGAGATTAAGTGTTTGTTAATTAAAGATTCAAAACCTTGCTTATGATAGGAGGAAGACTAATGGGACTAATCAGATTGCTCTTTAGATTTTATAAAAATAAGGATAACAGATGCATTCAACATCCTAAACTGGAAACAATGTATTAAAAAATAAACAATGTATTAAAAATACCAGCCTAATAGATGAAGAAGGGTTGCGAGGCTGGTCAACAGATAGAATCTGTTTACCCCTTAATATATAATTACGATGAAACAAATTTGACTGATGATCCAGGATCAAAAAAATGCTTGGTAAAAAGAGGTAATAAATAACCAGCAAATATAAGAAACACTTTTATGTAAAAAGCTGGTACAAATTAAATGTAAAAAGCTAATACAAAACCAAGCTGTTGCTAAGTATGGCATCAGTCGAAGAACAATTTGTTACAAATTAAATAGAAAACACAACTTAAAATCTGGTAAACCATACTTTTTTTTCCAAATTTCATATATAATTATGATGAAACAAATTTGACTGATGATCCAGGGTCAAAAAAATGCTTGGTAAAAAGAGGTAATAAATATCCAGCAAATATAAGAAACACTTCGAAGACTAGTATTTCTATTATGATATTAGGTAATGCTGCAGGTGAAGTTCTGCTAACTTTTGTAGTTTATAAAGCTATAAATCTGTGGTTAACTTGATGTGTAGGAGGTCCTAAAGGAGTCAGATATTTCAACACTAAAAGTGGTTGGTTTGACGGAGCAGCTTTTGAAGAGTGTTTTTTTTTTCTATAGTTTTACCGTCTTTAAAAAAAAAAAATAAGGAGTTAAAGTTTTGTTAGGCGATAAATTATCCTCTCATATCTCTCCAAAAGTAATTAATGTTTGTGAAAAAAGTGAAATACTGTTTGTTTGCCTGCCACCAAATAGCACGCATATAACTCAACCTCTAGATGTGGCTTTCTTTAAACCTTTAAAAACAGCTTGGCGTAAAATTATTACAGAGTATAAAAATTTTCCTGCTGGCTGCACAAAAACATCTCTTGAAAAACAACATTTTCCAGATCTTTTAAACAAGTGAATGATTGCTATTGAACCAAATCAGGCTAAAAACTTAAAATCAGGTTTTAGAAAGTGAGGTATTTATCAGTTAATTTCAATCAACTTTTCACACAATATAGAGAAAGAGAATCGTACAATAAAGAATTTTTAGAAGACAGCTTTAAGGCTTTTTTACAAGAAAAATATAAATCCTTGCAGTCTCCAAAAAACTAAAAAACAAAAAAAAAAGATTTTTGTTCCTGCAGGAAAAAGTGTTGGCACAGAAGATTTAGAAAAATTTGATAACAGTTTTGATATTGGCTTAAAGCTTGCAAAGAAAAAAAAACTGAACAAAAACACGAAAAGCATAAAGTCAAAAGTTCAATCTAAAGAAGATCCAAAAAGAGTGCCATGATCACAGTTCTAGCTCAAAATCATCGACTAGCATTAAAAATAAACTTGTCAAGAAAAAGAATAAGAATGAGAAGCCAAACTTAGAAAATTTGAGACATGTGAACTTTTTCCTGGACAAATTACAAATTTCAAGGAAAACAGTGCTTATGTGAAACCAATGGTAAAAATATTAAATGCTTGTCTAACACACAAGAAGATTTTTATGAATGGGACAATATTTGTTTCATATCAAGTCTTTATTTTATAAACTTTAAGTACCTCTATTAGAATTTTCTTTGTTTTAATTTTTTATTTTAAAGATATATAATTGCCTACATTAAAGGAAATTTTGTTATTTTTAATTTTTAATGTGGCTATGTTTCTTTTATTATGTTAAATTTTTTATTTACCAAAACAATAGTAAATTTGATATTGTTTTATTTTTATTTGTCTTTAAACTCTCGTTAAAATTTTGTTCAAACAGTATAATAAAAAGATTTAAATAGGAAAATTCATATAAACTTTAAATGACAATACAAGTGTTAACTTTGTTCTGCAATATTTAACTGCTCTGGAATTTCCAGATATTGTTTCATGAAATATAATTTGTTAACATTCTTTTGAAAACTTTCAACATTTTGTTATATATAATTTTTAAATAGTAATTTAATATATTAATACAACAATATATTATTAAAACAGAAGAATGGATGTGTTTATTTTACTATTGGAAAAAAATTTGATTTCCTGTTATATTGTGCCCACAACTAGTTACATAATTATGTTGCCATGACAAGGATTCACCTGGATGATTAAAATATTCTGTTAGAATTTATCTCACTGTGCTAGCATCTGTTGTGTATCGATTGCTTATACATCGAGGTAAAATGTTTAAAGCATTACCTTCATCTAAGCATTATCTATCTAGTCCTAGATAATCGATAGTTGAAAATACGTTCTTTGATTGTTGAGTTTTTACCAGAAAAATGTTTCATTAACCAAGGTTTTAACGCAAAAATATCATCACCAACTAGGACTGGTGGTACTTGTGTGCCATTTGATAGCTGTCAATTCTTGGGAAGTTTGAACAATTTATTTTTAAAAGTATTACCCATTTTACTTTCATTAAATATAATGCATCATTTTCTCTGCGATAGCTACCTATATCTACCAAAGTAAAGCAATATTTTGCATCACATATGGCTAGCAAAACCATACTATGAGTTTTTGCAGTTGTAGTAAGCAGATTCACTTGAAACAGGAGCTTCAATACATACATGTTTGCCATCTATTGCCCCAATGCAATTAGGAAAATTCCACTCATTTTCAAATTCATTTGCTATTTTTTACCACTCATCTGAACTTTCTAGTGCCTTTAAATAACTTGGTTGCAAAACATCCCAAATAGCCTTTGTTTTTTCATTGATTATGTTGCATACTGTTGTTTTTCCCAGTCAAAAATAAAAAGATTGTGTTTGTTGTGAATCACCAGCAGCCAAATATCTCAGGGTCACAGTCAATCTTTCTGAAGGTGATATAGTTTGACAGTTTTGACAAGATTTTTTTGTTATGCTAGGTGCAACCATTGACAGCAAGTGTTCATACTTTTCAGGAGAGATTCTGTAAAATCTATAAAAAAATTCTCTATCATGAAGGCGTAGCTCAGGAATAAGTGTGTTAAATGCTCCTTTTTTGCAACGATTTCTAAATAATAAGTGTATCCAAAATTTGTGTTTTCTTTTTTTCTTTTTACTTTGAAATGTTCTAAGTACGAGTAATGTATTGCAAAGTGCAAGCTGGCATTTTAGAAGATTAAACCTTTTATTATTTTCAATTTCTGAAAACTAATTTATTCATATAATTATACATATATATATATATATATATATATATATATATATATATATATATATATATATATATATATATATATATATATATATATATATATTTACATTTTAATATTTTAGCTATTACTAAATTGAGATACAAATCAAGTTAGTTAAAGTAAAGAGAAATATTGTCTGAAAGAATTAAAGCTGAAGAAAAAAAATCTTTTTTTTTTTGCTAGGAAAAAGTGTTTTTATTTTTCTGTTTTATTTTCCTGCTTTTTTACAATAATAAGTTGAATCTAAGTTTTATGCAGTAGACCTTTTTAACTTGTTACTTTAAAATAATTTTTTGTAAAAACACAAACCTACAAATGAAATAATACAACAATATTTATAAAAATAATGTCAGTCTTTATTACATAATCAGTATTTGTAACATTTTTTTATATACTTTTTACATAGGCGTAAACCAATAAAAGTAGTTATGAGAAATATTTTTTGTTTTACAAAAATTTTTTTAGTTTAATAATTAAAAAAAAACTTTATTTAAGAACGCATTTACAATTAAGAACGAATTTGTGTTGTGGCTCTTCCCAAAACATGTCGTTAGGGCTGAAAATTTTTGAAAATACCCTTTTAATGTGTGTTACTTAAGGAAAAAGTTCCTTGATTTTTGTAATAAGCCTTAAAAAACTTTTAAAAAAAGTTCCTATAATTACAGGGCTTTTCCCCAATCAGGTGATGCGGAACATAGCCACTGCTTTGTTTTTGTTGTTTAAACAAAAATTTAAAAACGCTTCTAAAATTAATGGAAACGGCTGGGTCTAATATTGCAAAAGTTGTTGCGCGACTGTTGTATATGGACTTTAAATACTTGGAAAGACTAAAATACAGGAAAGACTATATGGAAACCAACCTTTACGGTACTACAGGAAATGTCGCTAACAAACTTCATTATAACCACAAAAATTACGGGAAATAAAAACAACGCCGGACAATGTGTACGTACCTAAGTACGCATGATCACCTAATTCGTTTCTTTATTTTCAAGTCAAATAATTATTTCTTATTTCGACTTTTAATATGACTATCTATTTTTATAGGGCTTCAACGTTTAGAAAGTTCTCAATTACCTTGCTAAAAATATGCTAAAGATCAAGACTTTTTATGTTTAATATTAAATTTCATATAACCTCATATAAAACTAGCATTAAATACAATAGCAAAATATAAAAATCGCTTTTTTTTGCAGTCGCATAGTATTACTATATTTAACATTATATATTTAATTTAATATTATATATTTAAACTAAAAAATGCAATGTCACATTGTATAAATAAAACTTTCATATAAGTTCTCAAAACATTTCTTAAAACCTAGTTGTTGGGTATTTAAAATATTGAGTTTTTTTTTATAAAATTTGTATGAGTTATTGAAATTATTTCTAACAATGTGAACCAATTTTCCAAAACTACACATTAACTCATTTATTTCAAGTAAAAAATATAAACTACTAATTTAACTTGTAATTATTATTATTATTGTTATTATTATTATTATTATTATTATTATTATTATGTTGTTGTTGTTGTTGTTGTTGTTGTTGTTGTTGTCATAGTTGATACTATTATTAGTTTTGCTGTTTTAGTATTATTTTTATTGATATTTTTTAATTTTAGTTTTTCTTATACTAATTATTGTAATTTATTTAATAATCCTTTAAGTTATTAATTGCTTTCTGTTTTTAATAAATAAATTTAATTTTAAAATAAGTTATTTGAAAATGCATAACTCATAAATTTTTGTTGCAAAAAATACGTCCAAATACCAATCTTGTTCAGTAACTTTTCAAAAATTAACTCTTAACATTAATAAAACTGAAAACATTTTTAAAGACTAAGATTAGCTAAAGTTTCTAAATATCTGAATTTTAGGCAAAAAACCTGTTAATTCCATAAAGTATCTTGGTATTAAAGTTAACTCTCTCTTGATTTTTATTTAAAAGACTTTTCAATTTAAGTAGACTTATCACCAATCTTTTATAAACAACTAAATTAAAAAAAAAAAATCAAGTATGAGGGCAATCCAAAGCGCATGCTTTATTAAGACTATTTTAGCTCTGAAAAAAATTTAAATATAATCTGTTATACAATAGTTATCAAAGCTGTTAGTCTAACCCTAATATTCTTAAATTTTTGATTTTACTTCTTAATTTTTTATATATTACTTCTGTCTAACACATTTTTTACTAAAAATAGTAAAGAAAAAGTAGTTAAAGTACTTAAATACATATTGATTGACATTTTTAGTAGTAGTTTAAATTTCTGATCCTAAATAGAAAAAAATCATACAAAGAGAATGCTATTTAATTTACGATTTATCAAGCATCTTCATAGAAAACTGTATCTAAAGGTAATTAACATGTTTTATAGTTTTTTAAATGATGTGCTTTAGTTGTGTTGTGTATCCATCAATAAATTCTAGTATATAATTACTCAGGTGTAATTTTAATTTTTTTTAAATATAGACAATTTAAAAAAAAAAAAACAAGGAATAATGCAAAATGCTTTTTATTTATAACTATTTATAATTTTAATTTCAAGAGGCACTAGTTTTAAAAAATGTATAGAGATAAGAACTTTTATGCGGTTGTATCTAGATCATATCTCACTTGCAATGATTTTGACAACTTTATCAACTTTTTATTTGCCAAATAATTTTAGGGATAAAAGTAGTAAGTGTACATCCACTGATTTAGGGAAAGACGTAATGAATTAAACACACATCGATTGAGGGTTTTGATTTAGAGAATTACTTTTCCGGTCCATTATATCACTTTTAATGAAATCTTTTATTTTATACTTTAATTTATTATTAAATAATATTTTAAAATATTTTTTAAAAAAGGTTTTTTAGATATTGTTTAACATAATTTTTTTTATATTTAAACAAATTCTATTATAAAATTATTATGTAAATTTTAAACAAATTCATTGTGTTTTAAAATGCATTAAATATATTTATCAACTCATCACTCATTTTATATAATATTTAATTACCAATTTAAACTGATACCTCCTGTCAAAACAGATAGCTTGCACAAAAAGCTTCCAAGAGGAAGTCTTTTTTTGCTTTCTTGATTAAAGTAAAGCCTTTGACTGTATCTATCATAGAACTATGTTTAAAAAAACTTGCTTTATTTGTGAGAAATTTAATTTCTAACTTTTAGAAGTTAAATTTCTCACAAATAAAGCAAGTTAGATTTACTATTACTTGCTTTATCACAGAGTGCACATCGGCATTTATCAAATATGTATTGTAGTGTTGTTGCTAATTAAGGTATAAAGTTCGATGTACAGTAATGAAGAAATTATTATGGATTTTTCAGTTTTTAAATAATAATCAAGTATTTTACTTCGAAAAATTATAACATAAAAATAAAACCAAAGGTTACATATTTCAGATATATCAAAGTTTTAATTACTTGTTTTGACCACCTTTGGCTAAGTAATATGGTGTCACACTGAAATAGATAGCTGAGAGGGCTTCATCAACTGACTTTTTAGGTAGATTATGGAGTGTTACTACATTAATTAAGGGTTGGGTTAGGGCAGAAATTGTTTTATCATTATTCTTTATTTTTTTCTTCTTTTTTCAAAAAACAGTCAAGTATAAAAAATTTAAAGTATGAACAATAACTTCCTTTTAAGGATAAGGATAAAATAATTCTAACTTTTATTTAGAAACTTCTGGGACCCTTATATTATTATTACCAAATTTTTTTTCCAAAGTATTTGAGTTTTAAATTAGACTAAGATTTTTTAATAAAGTTTATAAGTTACATATTTTATCATTTTTAAATCAGGAATCTTTCTGATAAACCTTTACCTACCAGGAAACTTGAAAAAAAAAATAGATATTTTTTCTTTAGTAATATATTATAACATTGTTATTTACAATAATAAACATTCTTTTAGTAAAATGCACAAAGTTATTTTACAATTGTATGTTATTTTATGCACAAATGTTATATGCAATTTATTACTGTTTAAAAATCTTTTTTAGGGTTGCTACTACAGCACAGAATCAACAGTAATTTTTTAACTTTTTAATTTATTGTTAATGTATCATGCAAAAATCTTAATGTGTTGTAAGTGTAATTCAATTTAAAAAAAAAAAAAAAAATTCTGTTTCATAACATTGCAATATCTTATCGACTGCTTTTAGTTTATATCATATTTATTTTGTAATATGAAATAAACTAAAAGCTCTTATTTAACCTCACACTGTCTATCTAACCTTATTCTATCTTTCTAAATATCATCGTTTGTTGTTTTTTTTAAATTTGAAAATGTTTAACAGTATAAATATATTTAAATTGAATAAGACCTTTTAGTATTTTTCATTTATTTTGTTGTCTTGAGCTTATTAGGTTTCCTTTTTTTTTTGTTATTACTATTTAATTCTAATATTAAAGTGTTTTTAAGCTACTAATAAATAAAGTAACGTTTAATGTCATCAATAGATATAATAATATGACATTCACATAGTATGTAGGGGTTGTCCATAAAGTATGTATGCTTGGATGGGGGAGAGGGGTCTCCAAATGGTGTATATGAGATAGGGGCAAGGGGTCAATTATTAAAGTAAAGAGGCACTAAATTGAAAAAATATCATAAAATGTATAGTAGGTAGGTTAAATGTGCTGGTACTTTTATTGAGGTGGAGGGTACTCAAATAAGCGTATAGCAAAATGTGTGTGTGTGGGAGGGGGAGTGGGAGGAGGATGAGTTGAAATAAAAACATACGTACTTTATGGATGACTTTTTACGCAGCATGTGCATCAATGTTTCAGTATTACTTATATTTACATACTTGTATTATGCAATTATTAAAGCTATGAAATATTGATTATTTGAACTTCATATATATTATAACTTATATTTTTCATAAAATAAATAATTGTAATAAGTATTAGACAGAAAGTTTTTAACAGTTATGTTCTGAATTAATAAAAAAACTTTAATAGAATTTATTAATTAACACTATTTTCAGAAAGATCTGACGAAAGTACGAAATATTGGTATATCAGCTCACATTGATTCTGGAAAAACCACACTAACAGAAAGAATTCTCTATTATACTGGTCGAATATCTAGCATGCATGAGGCAATGATAATTTTTTTTTATTATTATTAGTTTACTATAGAAATTTTTGTGATATTCATGAAATGATTACATTTAGGTACGTGGAAAAGACAACATTGGAGCTACTATGGACTTCATGGAATTAGAAAGACAACGGGGTATTACAATTCAGGTCGCTTTATTTTTTTATATACTATTTTTATTCAAGTAATTTTTTACAAAAAATAATTTAAAGAAAGTTATTTAATAAAGTTATATTATAACTAAATATTAATTAGACAACCATAATATTTATATCATTATACTAAATATAATGTTATAATAATTATAATAATGATGGGATTAAATATAGTAATAACAATAGTTACAAAGATATGATTATATAATGAGACAATATCTGTCTGTCAAGGTTCCTTGCTCACAACGAATGTTACACTGTTATAAATTTACTTAAATTTCTACTGTTAAAATACTAATTTTAAATACTAATTCTTATAAATATATATATATATATATATATATATATATATATATATATATATATATATATATATATATATATATATATATATATATATATATATATATATACTCTTGCATGGTAGTTGAAAAGAGTTTCCCATAAACTGTAGTTTTAAAAAGCGCGTTAATAAACCAGACCAGAAAAAGTTTAAAAACTTAAATTTTTTTTTTTTAAATGATAGACTGCCTGCCCAAACCAAACCCTCAGTCGATGTAGCAGCACTCCCTTACGAGTCAGGCTATTTGTCAGTCGTTGTAGCAGCACTCCCTTGCGAGTCAGGCTATTTGTCAGTCGATGTAGCAGCACTCTGTTGCGAGTCAGGCTATTTGTCAGTCGATGTAGCAGCACTCCGTTGCGAGTCAGGCTATAAGATAGTCGATGTAGCAACATTAACGCATGTTTTAAAAATATTTTTTAATAAAATAAAAACAAAAACATCACTAATAAAAAAAAACTTTCTAGTCGTTATAATTGCGGTTTTTTTAAAAATTTTTAAAAAACAATAAAATTTAATGTACTTCCGCATTAATTTAATTGCTTTGAAATTTCGACGACAATCAAATACAGCTTAAGAGACAAGGTAATTAAAATTGTAGTCGTAAGAGACTTTTTTTACATTAAAACGCTCTTTCGACTACACTATATGGATATAATATATATATATATATATATATATATATATATATATATATATGCTTTGATATTTAATTTTAATAATTTTCTTATTATCATTATTCATTTATCCAATTCTATTTTCTTATATAAATCATTAATATTTTAGGTTCAATATTTTAATTTCAAGCTTTTATTTATTTTCAGTCTGCTGCTACATACACAAACTGGAAGGATCATAATATTAACATTATTGATACACCTGGTAAGTTTTTTCAAATAATGGTATAAAGGGTTTTTTTAATTTTATTATAAAAATGATTATATAAGAAAGTGCCTTTAGTTTACAAAAGATAAATAAAAAGAAAAGGTAATTATATAGTTGTGAAAGTATGATTATATAGTATGATATAGTATGATTAAAAGACATCTTTTTTTTTTAATTACTAAAAATAAATTACCATAAGGCATTAAACATAAAAAGTTAGTATTTTATAATAACTTTCAATGTTTTAATTCTGTTTATTGCCCCATTATAAAGGACCTTAAATTTCCAGTTATGCATAAAAATATTAAACTTTCTTACTTTAAACCAATTATACATATTTCAAAATAAATTGTGGAAAAAGTTTTAAAATAAATTGTAGAGTTTTATCTCATTGTAAAAAGTGCGGTACAACCATTAGCAGTGATTGCACCCCAAATCATAATTCATGGACATTTCTGGATTGGAGCGTGAGTTAGGCCAGTGAACATTTTGTATTGCAAACTGCTTACCTTGCTCTTCATCTGAGAATGTAACACATTGCCACATTTTAACAGCCTAATTTTTTTCTGCAATTTTCAGGTAATCACAAATATTTTTTTGAGAAAGATGGGAATTTATGAAACCTTGTTACAATCGAAGATTAAACTCCTTGGCAAGGTGTTTTTAAACTCTGCGGGTTCTAACATTCACATTAGGAGACAGTTGAATAAAAATTTGTGAGCTTGAAATCTTAATAGTGTTTGCAACGGAATGTTGAATATACCGGTATTAATACCGGTATTTACAAATACTTTTAAAAACATTTATTAAAACCCAAAGTAACAAATAAATGGTTCAAAAACTTTATTGTTTAAGTTAAAATAATATATAAAATTAATGACAACAGTCTAATCCCCTGATTCCATTCTTTACCTCTACAAATCTTTTATTCATACCTGTATGGATATTGCTGTATTTATTTGGGCTGGTGCGTCTAATAATGCTCATTCTCTTCTAGAAAAGGTCAAAAAACGCATTGTTAGCGTAGTTAGACCTGGTCTATCTGCTAAGCTTAAGTCTTTTTCCCATTGTCGTAAAGTTGCATCTCTCTCTCTTTTCTACAAATAACATGGTTGCTGCTCAAAGGAGCTATCATCTCTAGTTCCATCAACTAAAACTCATTCTCGGTTAACTAGTCATTTATCTAAGTTTTTTTCTTTTACTGTATCTGCCCCTGCATGCTCAAAAACATTTTATTTGCCTAGTTTTTTTCCCCGAACTTCAATCCTTTAAAACTCTTCCGTATTCATGTTTTCCTGAATCATACAACCTTCAACTTTTTTAGTCTTCAGTCAACTATTTTTTTGCTCCATAACTCTTTTCTTTTTTTCGAGTAACTCCCAACTTAATATTAGTTGCTTGCAGTTGTTGGTCGATTGGACATTAATTGTCCTACTTTCTTCATTACCGAAGCACCATCCGTCGTAATACATTTGGTATCGCAATAAATTTTTGTTCTTCCAGTAAGTAATCAATTAACTTGACACACATTTCTGCTGGAAAATGTCCATTAACTCGTACTAAACCCAAATTCTAAGATCTGTTTTTAGAATGAACATTAATGTTTAAATAGCAACTATTTTTTACAGAAGTCTACTCGTCAAACAAAACTTAATCAGTTTCCTTGCCGTTAAAGTTCAAATAATTCTTTTATTTTTGAGTTTTGAATTTTAGAAGCAAATTTCTTAACTATTTGGCGAGTGGGTTCAGATGATTTTAGCACATCGAAACCTCGAGGTATCAGCAATTCTCTCAGCTCATTGGATGTTATAAAAATTCTGAATGGCAAGCCATTGGTGGCCATCATTTTAGTTAAAATATTGGGCAGTGTATCTTTGTCTTCACTTTTTGTAAAATAAGTTAAAGTTTTTTTTCTGGTTCTAGCGATTTTCAAATCAGGTGTAGCAGAAACACCAGCAGTAGATGGTAAAATTGAAACTTCAACGGGATAATATTTCAATAAATTTATTTAGCGATAAGTTCAAATGTGTATGGAGTCCACTAGTTGAGTCTCACCACAAGTCTTGATTTCTCTATCACGTGTTTTACATTTTGCTACAGACGCGTAATAAGTATTGCCTTACGGAGTTTTTGTCTTAAAGGCTTTTTTCAAAGTCTTCAAATACTTTTGTTGTATCAGCCATGGGTAGGGCAGCATGTTTTTGAATACTAGAATTCAAAATATGATAAATAATATTGAAATACAAAATATATAAATATCAAAAATATTTATTAGATTAAGATCATATATGAACTTATATAAAAAAAAACAACAACATCTCTATATTAAATAGGGATGTTATTTTTTATCTTGACTTTAAATTCATGTGTGTTAAATATTTATTCTTTTTAAATTTATTTTTTTGTCTTTATTTGTTGTTGTTATTTACTAGGGTTTGGTAAATGCATCTGCGCAGATCTGCGCAAACATAATATGCGCATATCTGCGCAGATGTCGGCGCTGACATCTGCGAAGACAGTTTGAAGGATACGAAAAATTTAAATTATGATAAAAAAATTACTTCAGACATTTGATTCAGATAATTTAATTATCTGAATCAAATGCCTAAAATTAATTATTTTTTTAAATTTAATTTCAGGCAATATTTAATAAAATAATTTCAGACATTTTGAAAAACTCGTAAAAAGTAGATAATTATCTACTTTTTACGAGTTTTTCATTACTTGTTAGTTTCTTTTTTGTTCGAGCTACATATAATCAATCGATATAAACTTTTTAAAGTGTTTCTTACTACAATTTAAAGTGATTTAAAATAAAGAAATCGCGTATTTTCGTCATAACAAATGTTTAAAATGGAAAACATCAAAATTTCGAATTTTTGACAAATCTTGATCGAGGGAAGCGTTCTGGGACTTGTTTAGCATGTAACAAAACTGTTCAATGGTCGAAGGAACACCTTGCAGCGCATAAAAGATCAACATGTCAAAACGCCAGTGTCTAGTAAAAAAGATTGTTTTCTAAGCGTAATTATGAATCGTCAAATCTGATCAATGACTCTCAGCAACTTCCGTCTACGTCTGATTCACCGATGCAGAGTGTACATCCACCGATTAATGAAGAGCTCAAAAATGATATCGACACAAAGCTTGCTAATTTCTTTTACCCTACGGGTATATCATTTCGTTTAGTGGAATCGGAGGTCTATAAGGATTTTGTGAAGTCGCTCAATCCATCGTACGCATCTGTCATCCCGAAAGCTAAAGCCTTATCAGGATCTCTGCTCGAAAAACAATACATAAAATGTTCTATTTATGTAAATGAAATTTTGAATTCTGAAACAAACTTAACACTGATGTCTGATGGCTGGACGAACATAAGAGGCGATCACATAGTGAATTTTTGTATTAAAGCGCCTAAGCAGAAGCCTTTTTTTTACACCTCGATAAATACATCCGGAATCATTCAAAATTCATCTGCAGTTGCAGCAGCAATCTTACAAGTTATTGAGAAGATTGGCTCACAAAAATTTACCAGTTTCATAAGCGACAATGCTCCTGTAATGAAATCAGCGTGGAGCATCATCGAGGAGAAATATCCACACATCTCAGCTAGCGGATGCGGAGCTCGTGGAGTCAACTTGCTTGTGAAGGACATAGTTTCTACAATTGAGGCCACAAAAACAGTCAAAGATGCAGAGAAAATCATCAAATATTTGAAAAATCATCACATCGTGAAAGCAAAGTTTGATGAAAGACGAATTGCAGCAAATATTTCTCTTTCATTGTCCATGCCTGTATCTACACGATGGTTTAGTTATTATAAATCAATGAGCAGTCTCCAGCTATCAAAATACGTTCTTATTAAATTGGTAGACAAAGAAAGTCCATTACTGAAGGAAATTCAACCAAAGAATACATCTGCTGCTGTTATGGCGTTGATAAAATCTAACCCATTTTGGGACCGTCTCTCTAAGCTTGTCAAAAGCATTGAATTTCTTTCCAACGTGATCGGAAAGCTAGAAAGTGATACAGCTCCATTGTCTTTCGTGTATGATTACTTTGGTCAAATGTACCATTCATATATGGACAATAAAGACATACAACAAAAAGTGCAATCTCGCCTCGATTTTCTCTTTACACCATGTATTGGAATTGCTTTCATATTAACGCCCAAAAATGCCGCAGAAGGTTTATATTTGAATGAAGATAAACCAATTTTATCACTGCTACAGTTGAATTCCCCAAAAAGATCAAACCTGAAATTGCTGCCACTGCTGAGAATGAATGGATTGCTTATATAGTAGAAATTTCTGTGCTGCCTGAGAGAAGAAAGGAAAAAATATTCAAGATGAGCTCGCGAAATTAAAATAAAATGTAATGTACTTCCGCAAATTAAATTGCTTTGACATTTCGATGACAATAAAATGTAGCTTAATTGTGGAAGTAGAAAAATTGTAGTGAAAAAAGACTTTTTTTTACATTAAAAGTCTCTTTCGACTATGATATAAGGATATATATATATATATATATATATATATATATATATATATATATATATATATATATATATATATATATATATATATATATACATTTATTACCAAAAAAAATCAGAATACCCATACGTATTATAGATGATAATTTTTTTATTCAAAATATGCATGCTGGCAACACACTAAACAATCAAGTATTGAGGGGGTATTTGCAAATACTGGAAAGTAGAAAAATATCAATCACAATATTTCGCTACAAAAAAGTAGGATCTTTGCCCCATTCTCCATATGTAGAAATCCATATACTTGCAGATCAAAATTCTAATGTTTTATGAAAGATTAATGTATATAGAAAGATGTGTAAATTTTTTTTTATATCATCAATGAGCTTCTTGGGTACTCAATGCAA